AAACGTTTAATAGTCGCGAAACCCGAGGCATAAACACAGAAAATGTTGTTAAATGAAGATTAGGAAACATATAATTAACTAGTTTTATGTTAGTCGTAGACTTATTGTGGGAAATGTAGAAAAAACATTTGAATTAATCGAGAAATAAGATAATTTAAAGCGAAAAAGAGTACTGAAAACTACATTTAAAAATATTTATGATTTTTAGTGAAATTTATTCAAATATTTAAATATTAGTTTAGACGTAAAGCAAATGTGGTTTTGATATTTGTTTTCAAATAGTTTTCTGAAAACTTTTTGATGAGTTTTTTTTGCTAGTTTTTATGGTTTTTAACATTTTTTTATATCATATAAAGAATGTCAGCAAAAATATACATATATTTTGTGAATCAGTGATAAATTGAAGGCATCGGTGAGTGGTTGCCATCAGAACTCTATTAAATCATACAATTGTTAAGATTACGATCTGATGGCCCCTTCACTTGTCATACGACGAGTGCTGTGAATAAAACACTTCTCTCTCTCTCTCTCTCTCTCCGCCCAACAAATCAGAAAATATTTACTTTTTATTTCAAAACCTTAAGATAAATATCAATGACAACTCCAGTAGTGTATGGTGTAGTCGGGAAGTGCTCATCACTTGCGCCTATGATAACAGATACACCACAAGAGCTTTCAGAGAGTGCTGTTGTTCTGTGTACCATATACCTGTCCGGTGTGTTGGTTGGAGTCAAGAGCTCCGGGAGTTCCATAAACTCTATAGAGTCTAATGTCTTCCTTACGGTCCACTGAATTCCTTATGAAATACGACAACAAACTTCTTGTGATTAATAATTTATATTTTAAAACACTGTATATAAAGAAATAAATGCTATTTAATTTCTATCGCTCTCTCTCTCTCTCTCTCTCTCTCCTAATTTACGTTAAAAGTTATTTCACAATCAGAGCATTAAAATAAGTATTTAGTATTTAAGGAATTTCTCACATATTATGAAATAAAACACTTATAAAAATTAATTAATTCGTCAATTTGTTGCTATGAGTGTATAAATCACTAAATCCGCGAAAAGCTTCAGTAGAAGTGAAGTATACTTCAATCGATTCACTAATGTTTGTGTAAAAAACAAATTCTCGATCCGAGAGTTCACTATAATTATGGCTGACATTGAAATCTGAATCGAGAAGAGATTTGTGTGTTTTTACAAATGCTTAAACAATATTCTCAAAGTCTCTCTCTCTCTCTCTCTCACACACACACACACACACACACATTCACTCACTCACTCACTAACCATACAATCAAATAGCATATCAAAATATTTATCTAATTCTCTCTATTCTAATAAAAATATTTTTCTTACATTACATGTGATATAAAACTATTAAAACTTGATTTATTTGACAAAATTACTATTTCTGAGGCCATTCTTAAGATTATTTCATACATTCTTTTATATACACGTAAATAACAATACACTCTATAATATAAAAAGCTTTTTTTTGTCTCATTTAATTAAAATTGTATAATACTTTTATAGAGAGAGAGAGAGAGAGAGAGAGAGAGAGAGAGAGCTACAATTTTTAATAATGACTATCAATAATTGTGTTGATGGTCACGAATCGCGATTTATCATATTATAAATTAAATTTTTCATAAATATAATAATAAAAATAACACAAAGCATTCATAAAAAACAAAACATTGCATTTATGTTGAGTTCAAGAATCCTAATTATAACTACACATAAATCGTTGTGAGTTATAAAACACTCATTCAATACATATATGATATACACCGGTATATAATTGCAAAGAATTCAACCAAATATGTTATAATGAGTTCAGAAATTTTATCAATATTTTTGCAAAAAATATTTTAAACCAAAGAATTGAAACTTTTTAAACCAAGCGTTTAATTGAAAATATTTCATGACATGATCTTTCTCTCTCTCTCTCTCTCTCTCTCTCTCTCTCTCTCCGCTAATGTTTGTGTCAATCAATTAATATTATATTTATGTTATATAAAATGATTATTGAATTTCTGCTTCTCTTTCGACTTTTTTCCGTTCAAAACTAAGTCATTGATTAAGAAAATAAAATCAAAACAACATCTCTTTCCCTCTATGTCTTCATATAAAACTATTAATTGAAATTTTTTTAGACGAGATCAATGACTCGCTTTGATAGTCGCAAAGTTTGTGCATAAATATTTTAATTCGCATATAAATGGCTTTAAAATTTAAAGTTTAAATTATTATCATTTTATTGGGAAAGTTAGCAAAAGAAATGACAACATATTATGCGACCACAAAATATGTATTAATAGTTATATATTAATAATATATTATAACTTACATTTATAAATGATGTATAGCTAGCGATTCAACGATTACTTTCTATTTATCAGAAATCATAAAATGGGATAAAAATGTAAATTTGGTGCCAAAAAAAACATTATATCAATGGATCAGAGAATCTAAGAAAATATGTTTCTGTACTAAAAATTTTCTTTTATGCCGTCGTTTGCATGCCATGGGTTGGGATGGGAAGCGAACTGTGTTTTTATATAAACTCTTTTAAAATACTTATAAACAAAATTACATATAATTAATACCGAAGTTTGCGTTTTCTGTCGACTCGAAAGCTTATTGTTACACAAAACTAGACGAAAAGTTTGTGTATTAAAAAAGTTAAAAAAAAGTTAATTGTGTGTTAAAAGGGGTTGAAATCCTGTCGTTGTTGTGTTTGTGATCTATTACTATAAGAGATTGGGTTTCGCATCAATGGTGAGCCAATGATTGTGGTCAGGGATCGACAGGTTTTCTGTGTAACCGGGGTATTGCTTATAACTCGCAGAATGCATAGCGTATAAGGTATTGTTTACAATTCGTAGCTTGGTTAAATGATTTTTGCAAAAAATGCAATGTTTAATGACATTTTGGCTAAAAGCCAGGGGGTGTGGAGTCCACTGTGGACCTGGATGTGGTGGTTGTGTGTGTGAGCGCAGACACACACACAGGACGGGTAGGGGAGAGCGCGGACACGCATTAGTGGTCAACGATTGAACGCACGCTAAAAGAAAGCGCTTCTTATCGCATACAAAGCCTACCTGTGCTGAAGTCCTATCAAGTATAGCCTCATAAATAAGTTGCTTCACTAACCGAGTTTATAATCAAATCCAGTTATGAGTTAAAACAGAAAAAAGGTAATTGTGTGGGGAATGGCAATGACAATGGCAGTGGCAGTGGCACTGGTAGTGTCTGTGTAGGCCATTCCCAGGCTCGTAATATCCAGTGTTTCGCCAGAATTGAGTACAAAAGCATCAGAGAATGAAATATGAAAGAGTGTCTGCATATCATGTGTTTGTAACTCATATGTGTATTATGTAACCGATAATAGTGGTTCAACCATTCACTTTGACATACCTGTGCTGCGCGTGAGACTCGTAGTATAGATATGTTCATGAAAATATATTTTCCAAAGTAATGTGAACTTAGTTTTTAATATATTAGGCACCACTTGATTACTGTACGACAGAGTCTTTCTACTTTATCTGCCAATCTGTATATCTCTCTATGAGTTCCCTTTTATCTACCTGTGCTGTGGTTAAGGGCTACTTCAATGTTCACATAGGTTTGTGCTTGAAAAGAGAGAGAAAAAACTTTTGTTTAGTTTTGTGATTCAGTTGTCTGTGGAGTGGCTTTGATTTTGGAGAGAATTTATAAAAGAAAAGTGAATGCGATTTGAAGGGAAGAAAAGGTTTCGCTTTTTGTCAAAAAAGTGTTTTTAGAGTTCATTTATAAAGTGTTTTTTGTGTCAATTGTTTTCTACATCTCTTATCATATGAAGTGAACAAAACAACGGATGACTTATTGACTATAATTAAAGGGACGGCTGCCAGTGGTCCGACATTTAATTACTTGTCACACACTTTGGTATACAGAGACCGGACATTGAATGTAATATTTATTTATTCAAAGGACGGGTATGTGATTCTGTGAATACTCTATAGAAATGAGAAATTTATAAGAGTTTTGAACTCTCTATCCCTCGGTTTTTGAATTAACTTTTCGTGACAATTAATTACCGTAAAAAACTGCAACTATTTTTCTATCACTTCATTAGCGAATACAACGAGATATTTGTGCATAATTTGTGAATTAGTTTCCTAAGAAAATATAATAACTTTCGGTTTAAAACAACAAACAAAACAAATAAAAATGTAATATTTTAATGAAATGTTGCCTGAAATAGCCATTAAAACAGTTTAATTTATGTTGAATTAGATGCGAAAAAATAGTAATTGAAAAATTCTTGCTATTAAAGAGATTTATAGAAACGGAAATCTTGGCAATTTTATGCTAATTATTACTGTTTTTATTGTGCAATTAATGTTTTTTGATTAAATCCTTCATAAATACTTAAAATGAAGTAAATTTTGCCGAAGTTCCTAATGTTAATCAAAAATCTTTGCTTTTTGTTTTATAACTTACAGTGTTGTTATAAATCTATGATTTTTTTAGGCAACAGGTGTTTGCTATAAAGCAAAACTTTTACTCGTCTCTCTCTCTCTCTCTCTCTCTCTCTCTCTCTTACATAATGTCTATTGCAAGCCCTTTATCACTGACACCGACTTTTCCCGGCATTTCCACAACAAAGAGACAGAATTTAATTATCTCTTTATATATGACTGAATGCCTGTAAAAACGACTACACATTAATGTAATACAATTCCTATGCAATAGTCAGCCAAAACATTGGCTTGAATTTCGTTTATAATATATTCTAAAAAAATCCTCTAAAATATCCTAAATATATCCTTTATTTGCCAGACCCTCGACCCTCTCATAACTGTCGGATCTCAACACTGGTTATACAAAAAGTGAGGAGAAAAGCAATAAATAGGTTTTGTCCGCCACTCGGGAACTCAAGTGAAATGATTAGTTTGATTGCAAACATAATTGTTTTGCTTGTATTCAATCAATGCATTCATTGTATTAATGGTTCGCCTTCTCGCCGACGATTTAATGGTTTGCATTCATTACATATTATCGCTGATTATGATTACTGTTATACATAAATGTGTAGAAAGACTTAACGCCGAGAAAAAACTTTAGCTCAGAAAATAAATATTAAGATTTTGCTTTAGACGAGAATTAGTTTATTCATTCGCTCAGTTAGCTCTTGAGGGGAAAGACTGTCTCCAGTAATGATTATTTGATTATAGACGTGGAGAATCTGAGTGCCGAACCGGACTATAGAGCAGTTAGGCTGAAGTGGAACTACTATAATGAACACAACCACGGGCTGACCGGCTTTAAAGTGAAGTAAGTAGTGCCATAAGTAGTGCCCTTCCCCCACACATCCCTATTCCTGATGATACAGTGGCTACAAAAGTGTGTGAAAACAGTTTTGTTCAAAAGTTTATTGAATTTTGTGTGTCTGTGCCGTCAGATTCTGTGAGATATCCGCCTGGAATTCAAAGATACGATGCCGGGAGCGACAGCTCCGACTACTGTCTCCTCAGAGCCGCAAACTGTCGTCGCATACGGCGCCCGACGACAGCCTACACGCCATCCCTGGCCTCGACAACGACTCCATAGTGGATAAACTGATTCGTCTGAACCGCAACTCATACGAGGCCTCTATCTATGACCTAAGAATGCTAACCAACTATACGTTCAGTGTTAAGGCCGACTTCGATATGGCGGTCTCGCCCTACCATCCCGTGTACGGCAAGAATCCCGACCCCTTCAGACCGTACGCCGCCGGCGACGGCGAAGACTTTTATCGCAACGTAATCGTCGAAACGAAAAGCTGTAAGTCTTTTGAGGCAATGAGTTGTCTGTCTCTCTATCAGTGCTTTTATAATGCTTTCCGATGCCTAACCGATATGATAGCATAGAGACTCTATTGTCAACTGATTTATATCCAACAGACCATAAATAGGGTAATTAGGGATTCCGTGTAATGAACTCCACTTTTGTTATATAAAGGGTGAAGGCTTTGACTCCGGTGTTGGTGTTTGACTCTCGGGTACTAAACCTCTTGAATTCTGTGCTCTCGTTTCACTCACGAGTTATGACAGACTGGAGAGAGAGAGAGAGAGAGAGAGAGCATTACCACGAATTTTAATAACTTTTTTTCATTACTTAACACATAATTACAAAACGCATTAAAAAGAAAACTTTTTTCGCTAAATATTAAAACAAAACAAAACTCTTTTAGAAATACTTTTTTGTTTTTTGGCTATAATTTGACACGACTTTTGAAATCCTCAGTCTCGGCCAAAACGAGTCGGTGTTTAGCGAACACATCGGATGTTGTGGTGCAAACCGGGCCCTACTTCAGCGGTAAGATCACCGTCGAGTACGCCAACGACCAACGGTGCTCAGTGTATGGCAACCGGACTAGTATGCAGTCGGTGTACACCCTAACCATCCTTCATGATGTGTGCGGAAGCAAAATCATTGTATGCATTGATTTGTTTTATCAATTTTGCTACCTTTCCCTTCATTATACTCTCAAACAAACACACAATTCAATTGAAAAGTTAGAAAACACACACAAAAAGTTCACTTAGTTTTCGCTCATTTGAATGCATTTGCGAAACAAAAAAAACAATTTTGCTACCTTTCCCTTCATTATACTCTCAAACAAACACACAATTCAATTGAAAAGTTAGAAAACACACACAAAAAGTTCACTTAGTTTTCGCTCATTTGAATGCATTTGCGAAACAAAAAAACCAAAAAACAGAGAGAAAATAGTTGAGCGGAACGGTAGCCTAACCAACATTTAACAAAAACATAAGATTGCATTATCTATGGCCTAACCCACAGAATAACTCGCGCATAGAGACCATGGTAATGGTGCACGAGAACAGGGAGATACTGACCCACAATTCGCGCCGATTCCTCGTGGTCTGCAACTTCGTACCCGAGACATACACTCTGACGGCGTCGGTAGCCGTGCCCACACACCTACTCAAGCGCAAGCATAAGACGGACGACTCGCACCATCACACGTACCACAAGAATCACTCCATCGAAAGCAATGTCATACCGGTGTCCAAACCCAACGTCGACCCCAATAACGAGAATAACAATATCATCGATAAGAGCAATGATATCTTCACGTTTG